TCCAACAGCGGTTCACCCATCATGCTGTATTTACTTGGGAATTCAGCTTACTTTCGCGGCTGGCATTCGAGGAATCTTGTTCATCGATCAGGATAATTCTCGCGAACAAGTTGTAAATATTATCAGAGAAAAGAAGATAACGGTGAGACTCATTTTGCCTTTTGTAAAGAAAAAATTCAAAAATCCACGTGGATAACACGAGATTTAGCCGAAAAAGACAACAAACAGTTAAAAACTACTCAGTCATTGGAAAATGCTAAAGGGTAAATAAATGGCCCCTGCATAAGCAGAAAACATCCTCCTGAAACTACGTCCTTACAGCTTTCCCGGTTATCGAGATAATAATTTCCCCGTCAAAAATTTGGAGGGGCCAAACAGGAAGTCCAGGCATACGTGGAAGCTGAATTTGGTTCACTGAAGTCGCATGCGGGTGAAGGGCATTCCCCCAAAATTTTAGTTTTCTATTTTTTGTAGTTGTGCGGTCTTTTTTGCTTGCCAGCAAATTCTCGCTTGTCGAGTTACTGAAGCCGACATCTGAACTGACACACCACATAGCTGCACAGTTAACCTTCTGAACTTTGAGAGCCAACATGTCACAAAAATCTAGCTACTATGATTTCTTGCGATCATTCTGCAGTACGAAATAGTGCAAAAACGTACTGTAAGGGGGGAGAGATGATTCCTAGAATGTAAAAATGTAAATTGGCAATATTTAAAGGTCAAAAAATCCATTTTTCGAATATGATGATTAATGGAGGTGCTGATGCTACGAGCTGACTGGACGCTGGTATGGTCCCCAGATGTTCCGAGAAGCAGCGCCAGTTCTTTGTGACGATGCCAAGCCTCCTTGTTCATGTTATCCCGGCTTTGTCTGGGCCTTGTTTGTTACCCCCGTGGGTCAGCATTTATGATCGGGGAGGTGTGGCTTTCATTTTGTTATATAAAGCAGTTTTATCTCAGAATGAACACAGTTTAACACCAGGATCAGCTCAGCACCGGACGAACGACATGCACGATCTTCCCCCTCGACTGCCCACACAACACGGACTCTCTTGGCCCTCTCAGTACAAGCACGTCTTTCTACTTGCGCTACGTCACTGTACGATCGAACTGGTTGGCTTAGTGCGCGTCGCCAATGATGTGTTACTGTCATGCAACACAAAATTGGTAAGAATGCTACATAATTTCAAAACATGAAAAGCGGTAGCACCTTGCAGAGTACATCACCAGTACGACATACTAATCTGGCGACGAATGAAAAGGAAATTTTAAATAATGTTGACCAAAAACGAACTGTATTGCCTTCCCTGAGAAAACTTAATGCATCACAAACTTAAAGGCAATTAATTACCTCTAAATTCAGACCTCCCTGTTCTATCGCTCATTCTAAAAGATTAAGGCACTTGGAATTAGCTCGAATAGCAGTAAATGCCAAAAAAAAATCACGAGCTGGAGATGGCTCGATGGCTTCATCTCCCAAAGCTGCTTGCAAGCAAGCGCATGGCCTTTCCATACCAATTTACTATCAGAGTTAATGAAGGAAGCATAGATATGCCGTTTTCCCACTAGACCAATTAAATCAGTAATCTTCCATCTAAGATCAACGTCGCTCAGAATGTGTTTTAGGTTCTATGAAATTTAAATGTAAAAAATGGTACAGCAGCACTTACTCTTCTGTGAGACACTGTGGTCTCAACGCGCGAACTTGAGGGCGGCGAAGAACTCACTTCGCCCTCTTCCATTTTCGAGTCTTCCTTTTCTCGGGCAGCCTCTTTCTTGCCTTCGCTGCGCCGCGAATGCGATGGTGCCTCTTCGGCAGCCCTCTGCACTTGAAGTGACTGCCGATCCTCATCAGCTGCTGTTCCTAAAACGCAGCCCATCGACTCACAACATCATTAAGGATGCCCGGCGTTTAACAGTTAATTTTAAGGGTCACTGCTAACTGCTGATGTCCACCAAAACGCTACGAAAGTCGATGTCTACTAAAACATTGGGATAACTGATCTGTTCAGCAAATCCGCCAGGTTAACTGCTGTGAATTACCAGCACTGCTCGCATATCCGTCTGGATCGACGAAGCCCCTGGTTGAACTGCTGAGAAAGCCTTTTCTATAAGTGTATGTTATTAAGATGGTCTGATGTGCAGTTGTGCGCCACCAAAGTTTTTCATTCTATCAGTGCGGTTGATGAAGACTGCTTGGCCTACTTGAGTTAATTGTCACAATTTTTCAACTCGTTGACGTAGATTACTAAGTACCTATCAGCATGGACCTCTGCCCCTCCCTTTTATTCCCGGTCAAAGTACAATTACGCCAAGCCCTTTGCCAGCATCTGTTTATTCCCAGCTTGCACCTACCCGCCACATTAAAATAAATAGCAGCGCGCACCAGACTAGCCGGTGCGATCATTTGTGCAATTTGACCCATCGAACGATTGCCTACTAATGATTTTCACAGCTTTGTACTTTAGTCTATACAAAAATAGTTCAAATATTGGAAAATAGTTAAAAATTTCATGCATCAGCGCACGAAAGCTGAATTCGAAACCTTGAAGGATGAATATCTTTCCGTGATTTCCGAGTTAATATTTTATCCGCCAAAAATTTCACCAGTCTGTAGAGCACGGGAACGCTGAATTTGAATGAAAAAGGTCGAGCTTGGGCAAGGGGGTCACTGCCCTAAAATTTCAGCCTCCTAGACTCCGTGGTTCCCGAGATATTAACTTGCCCGTAAAAAAACTTTCACGGGGCCGTACATGTTACCCGCGGGTACGGGAAGGCTGAATTTAAATTTGCGGGGTCACATGTGGGTGGGGAGCGTTCCTCCAAATTTTCAGCTTCCTAGCTTTTCTGGTTCCCGAGTTGAAAGTTGCGGACAAGTTGCTGCGGACAC